AGAGAATGAAATAGGTGGGGGAGTAACAGAGTACTTGTCTTACTTTTACGTGTTTTCATGCATTAGATTTACAGACAAGACAGAATCTATGAGCTTGAAAGAAGGGATTGGACATCTTCTTTTGCTCTTTTCTAAGAAAAAAGAACGAAGGACAAACACACTTCTGTGGTTAAAATACTTCGTCTTCAACTGTATAGGTCCAAGAAAACACCGCCTGAAATTACGGTTGTGACATCGAGAGCGCCATGTGACAGCTGGTTATGATTCTTGACAATTCCACACCGACGGCTCATTGTCTCTTTTATGCAGTGGATCATGGTCACAATTTTAAACTTTAGCATCAATTCAGATAGATTGAAATATACAAGAAGAGATGCGAGATTAGTTCCAACAAGTTGAATACTAATTTTATCAGTACAGCCCAAGTAATGAAGATGCGTAGTGATGAGAGGAATCATTACTAGGGGCTTAAAAAAGGGACTAATTATTTGATGCATGATATAAAATTATTACAAGTGAACCCGTGGCAAAAATTAGCCAGAGGGATAACAGTCCCTCTCAGGCACTATTGAATAATGGTACAACCCTTGCAGAATCTCAGTATCAATCATGTGAGACACGATTTAACAGTGTTTCAGCTGCCCATATTAGCATCTATAGCCATTGCCCTCTCTTCAGGAGCATGGCCAGAGTCTGGAGCAGCAGGATCTGCGAACTGTGCTCTTGACTCTGTCGCAAAGGGAATCCTAGCAGGTGTAGTGTCTATTTCCATAGCAAAAGCTCTGGGAGGAGAAGCCGGCTGCACATCTACCAGTGGGTAAGCAGCCTTGTACCTTGCTCGTAGGCCTTCATCAACCAGTCGAACTCCATTAAACTGATTACCAAGTGATATCCATCTGGTAAACGATAAGAGTGGAAAGGAACCGCTTATCAGTGGAAAATTGTGGATACTCAAAAATCTTAAAAAAAAAAAAAAAAAGAAAAGAAAGAAAGGGGGCTCACCCAGGCATTTGGCTAGTTATCACTGACCACTATCCTTTTGGATACCGAAAAACATGAGCAGGCTAATTATCGGGGAGAATTACACATTAGGTACTGAAAATAACAAAACGTCACATATATTTAATTCTTGAGACCTGTAGGCCCTTCATCTGTTTATTCTCAAAGCATGCCCTCTTGCCTCTTGGCACCCTATGATAGATGATATAATATATTTTAATAATTTTAAAACAAGAAAAATGAGTCAAGACACCCCACCCTGCATGAGTATTATGCATGCCAGCAAATAATTCCAGCTTCCTTGTCCTTGGACTTATTCTCTCCAGCATAGGGTACATCTGCAGGTTTATGTTTCCATTAAGGTAAGTTCTTGTACTACACAACAGGGACATTGCAAGCACATAAAGCATTACAACAGTAATAAAGTTCAGGCCGTTTTGTAACGAAATGTTATTGCTTCTAAGCATTTCAAAATCAGTATGCATGGCCATCATCATCCTTAAGCCAACATTCTGACACCAAGAAGTGGTAAATAAATAATGTTATAATGGATGGTCAAACAATCTATGGTATGGAATAAGTTCTACAAACCTCATCTGGCTTACGGCTAGTCTCTCGAACCTTGGCAACAATGACATCAGTATCAATATTCTTGTTTATTTCTGGATTTCCCTTAATTCCTACAAGGCAATGTTCCTTACTATGATTTAACCAATGACCTGTTCTCCCTGTTCTAATTATTCGCTGAAGTTGATTTGTTTTCACCCAAATAATATCCTCACACCGCTTGTACCCCCAAAGTTCCAAACTGCAAGAAGCATGATTGCTTTTACAATTATGAATAAAAATTTTAAGGCTTTTCTCATCAAAAAGATAAACTAAACATTAGATATTTAAATTAACTAACAACCAAAGTAAAGCAAAAACCATTCACGTCCTAGCTCCATTGCACATCCAGTGACCCAAAGGAAGATCAGACCATCAGTCTGCAACGCAGGAACATTAAGATCGCGCATTTCATCATCAGCCATTGTTCCATAAGGCAACTCCATATGAATACCCCATGGTGGATCTGCCATGATGACACCAAGCTGCCCCAAAATGTCCATTCTAAAATTCCGGATATCACCATTAATCCATTGTGGTTCACCTATTCCAGTTCTGAACAATATTCAGCACGCTGAGGCTTTAAAGGTTTCTCAGGACCAAGATCATCTTGTGTTTGGTCAAGCTCGTAATGGACATGTTTGCATGTCTATCAAACAAGGTTAGATTGCATTACTCTCAAGTTGTAGTCGTAATAAGAAGACATTAGAATGAAAGCTAGTAAAAATTGTTTTAAGAAGCACAAAAAATTACCTTCATATGTCCGCAAGTATCTAGAAATGAACAATCCCTAAACTGATGTCAGTATGAGGAGCAATTATGAGCTTAAAATGAACCTGAAAAGAGTTACAAATATAGTAAACAAGATTGCAAATAGGCAAATCAGGAGTCCTAAAAAACTATCTCATCCTTCTAAAATGCTAGGCAAATGACTTGAGGAAGTTCAAACTAATGATAGCACCACATAAGACACAACTATATGCTATGACAACCATTTCTATGAATCCAATAATAACACTATAGGTTAAGCCTCAATGATGCAACTCTTCAGGCTACTGGATATATCAAAAGTTAGAACGAATGCACTAAATTATCAAATTTTCATCCCTACTAACAAGAGGTAAAGGAAATAGGCTTTTGATAATTGTTATTTAATTAATTAGATACTCTTCATTTTCTTTTGAAAAGAGAAACAGTTTACTCTAAAATATGAACATGTTCTCATATTTTGCAGGACATCACTAAATCGTCAAAGGGACCTGAAGTGTATGTTGCAGCTTATCCCTGAAATGCAAATTGGCAACCATATGCAAGCTCTTTCATTCCAACAAAAGAAATTGTTACCATACCTTCTTACATGCAAGAAACTACCAGACTGCTTTCGACAGTCCTCCTTCGTTAAAGCAGAAAAATACTCCCTCACTTGAGAACCACCTTTGCTTTTAAACTGTACCAAATAATTGAACAGAATCACCAACCAAATAAAGAACAACTAAATAAAAAAAAAAAGAAATACTTAATAAACTTCAATATACCTAAACTTCCTAATTTTGGCAAAAACCAAAATATGTATTTTATGTTTCAAGTGTTACACAAATTATGACACTATAATTTTCGTATTTTATAAGATAGATATAATAGACAGACAAGGATACAGGAATTGCCGCTTCTAAATATACCTTAGAAGCCACAGCAGTTTCCTTAGCAGTTGGGCGGTTAATGTTCCAAATCTCCTCATCCGTCTTCGACTTCTGCACTTCCTTAAACGACTTCTTATTCAAGAAAGCCTCCAAATCCTTCATATCGTCTTCCTTAGTCCGCTGTCTCTGCAAAAGACCATTGTTTGGACCCATCGGCAGCCTTCCAATCATCCCAATTCCCCGACCCCGCAGTCCAGCCATTGGCCCACCCGGCGGATGCATCATGCCAGGGTCTCCTCCCATCCAAATTTCACTCATGGGCCTCGGGGCCATCCACTCATTATCACTGTTATTATTAATTTTCAAGCTCTCACTTTCGTTAACGTTGTTTATCCGTTCTCTTTTTTGATGATTTTGAGGTTCTTCAGGTAATTCTCGGACTAACCGGGTTCGGTCGATGCTAAGTACCATGACTCTGCTTTTGCCGCCAACCACAAACTCTTCGACCTCGAGGCCGCCGTTATCATCCGCCATTGATCTCAAAGTCATCTCCACCGCGAGAATGGACCCCGAATCGCCAATTGACACATAGCAGCCTTCTCGCCGCAGTCACATTCTCGTCGTTCTCTAGCTTCCTCAAAACCGTCGAGGAATCGATGGCTTTGAACGGTACCCTCTGAAGCAAACACGCCGCCACCATAGCTCTCACCAACGACAACGGGTTGCCGCTCTCTTTGACTGGTTTGTCACCTTGTTCAGGTTTAACGAGGGCGAGTTGTTTTGGGTCAGGTACGGGGTGGGTCGGTGGGTGGTAGATATTTTTGGGCGTTGGGAGGGGAGGATTGGGAGAGAAAGCGCGGTGGTTGAAGGCGGAGACGATGCGGAGGGAGTTGTGACGATGTTAGGGTCCAGGTTTTGGAGGGAGGCGAGGAGGTCCAGGTGGGTTGCATGTTGGGTTTGGATTTGGGTTTCGAGTTGGGTCCGAATGGATTTGTTAGTTGCTACTGTGTCTCCACCGCCTGGGTGGATCTCCGTGGCTGCGTTTATTCGAGTTTAGTGGGTGTTTACGTGCAACCTAGTGGGGGATTTTAAGATGTCGGACATTAATTCACCGTTTTACCTTTTAACCTTTTCAATATTAAATAGTATCAGACTATTTATACCGTGGAGCCCAATAGCACATATTCATAGCCCATAAAGGCCTGAGCCCAATAACTTTTTTTGTCAGGACAGCCCATTAACTTTGCCAGTTAGTACTTAGTGGACATGGAAATTGAAAAGAAAATGGAAATGGCAGATCGGTAATTTGCGACATACCCATGTGAACCGAAACCTCCAATGCAATTTGTCGTCTTCTAATCAGAAAACCCCACCAAACTCCGACACCACTTCACAGTTCGGAAACAAAACAAATAGAGAAAGAAAACCCTAAAACACACACTCTCTCTGTCTCTGTCTCTCTCACACACACACACGCACGCACAGAAGTGAGAACTATCAACATAAAAAGCATGGAACTCTGTCCAGGTTCGAGCCGAACACTTGATAAAAAACATAAAAAAATGAAAAAGTAAACTCTTTAAAAAAAACCAACACGTGCCTTTCGTTTCTCTTCATCCCTTTTCTTGTTCTGTCATTGATCTCCTCAATTGATCATTGCATTACATCATTCATTGTCTTAAAATAATGGGATTTTCCTTAGCTTTATTCTGGTAACTGGTTTTCATAATTCTGGTTCGTATTGATCATGGACTTCTTTTCTTTAGCTCTTTTCAATTATTGGGTTTTACATTTTTACTTATTTTCTGAACATGATCTCTTGTTCTTGAAAACCTGGGCTTTTCTTTGCTGAGCTTGACTTGTTTTGATCATTGTTTTTTTTTTTTCCTCTTTTATAATTCCTGTGTATTATCCTTCTTTCTTTTGTATCAAAAGCTACTTTTTACTTACTGGATTTTTACCTTTAGCCTTAGTTCTTCAACCTGATCTTTAGTTATTGTTCAATCGGGTACCTTCTTTTATCCCTTATTAACAGTGAATTAATGGCAACGGTGCTGTCTTTATCGGTCTCTTTTTCAATCGTTTTCCTTGTCTATTATATCTTATCTTTAGATCATTATTTAGCATCTAAATCCTCACTGACTTAGGTTTTTGTACATTTCTTCATTCACATTTCAATTACTCTGTTTTGGATGTGGATGCAGTTATTTTGTCAAACAAAGGTTGATTGGCAGCATATATTGTATAGTTTGTTGGTGTATACAAGGTAAGCTTTTGATTAATCTTACTGTCTTTGTTGTGATATTTATTGATTTTGGTTTGAATGTCGATGACTCTGTTCTGTTTTTTTTATTGTTATGATTTGGTGAAAATGATATTCTTTTTTGTTGTAGTAACGAGTTGCGTGTTTGCCCTGAATGGAGGACATGGTTGGACCAAGGTTGTACAGTTGCTGCAATTGCAGAAACCAAGTTGCCCTTCACGATGATGTTATATCCAAGTCTTTTCAGGTAGCGAACTCGATACTAATTTTGCTGCAATCATACCCCTCTGCTGGATTTATTGTTGCTGGTTCCATTAATGGATTAAAAGATGATTTCTTTCAGAGTCTAGGAGGAAATGAAAGGGGAAACTAGAAATTTGCTTATGAAAACATTTACCATTTAAATATTTGCTCAAATGTATTTTCGGTCATTTCAAAGTTGGGACTATATGTTGCATTTGGTTCAACCATGTCAAACTTCATTTCTGTTACTATTTTTCTTATGGAGAAAATCTGTTTTGCTGAGAGAATTCCATAGATATGTGTTCCAAAGGTTCATTTACATTTTACAATGTGAATTTCAGGGGAGAAATGGTCGAGCCTTTTTGTTCTCCCATGCAATGAACATAATGGTGGGTCCTAAGGAGGATAGACAACTGATGACTGGTCTTCACACGGTGTTTGATGTCTACTGCTGTGATTGCCGTGAGGTTTTAGGTTGGAAATATGAGCGGGCTTATGAGGAAACTCAGAAGTACAAGGAAGGGAAATTCATTCTTGAGAAGTCAAAAATTGTTAAAGAGAACTGGTAGTATCCATGTAAATATTCTGGATGGTTCTCCTGACCTGGCAAGTGTATGAATGCCTTTGTGTGTTTTTCCTCTTCCCGATTGAATATATTCATGTATTGTTCTTCCTTGTGCATTCTTGCTGTGTTCCTTGTGTGGATATTGTACTGGATATTATTCATTTTGTTAATAAAATTGTGAATGATTCTCTCAATAGTGCCTGTATTTCAGTATGCACTGAATCTGCATTTAGTAAAATTTACACATTTGTAATTTATTGTTGTCAGGGATTAAGCATATCAATAGTATGACTTATGTTTCCGGAATGTGGCTGAATATGATAAACTAAGGGATGTCATTGGCAATCAGTGATCATTTCTGTTCTTGTAGTCTGCATCCACATTTATATTAACAATTATGAATTAGATTAGTATGTTATTCTTAGATCCCTGTAAGATGTATGTGCCTGTGGCTTTTCATTGATGTGAATAGATCCGAGAAACAGGATGTCTTATATCTTTAGTGGGATTTTGTACTCTGATGACTAGGATATATTTCTTGGGCTGAGTCTAGACCTGATGTGGGATGTGATGATGCATGTGGAATAATTGAGGAAGCTGTCTTGTTGTCTTGTTGATAGAAGCAAATGGCCTAAGTGATGTGATACAGTTGATTATTGTTACTGGCAAGATATATATGTGGTAGAAAGAAAGTCTTTCATGTTTGATGCTGGTTTTAGATATTTAGCCAATTTTAAGTGTTTGTTACTAAGATTGACTTGCTCAAATACTAATGCCTATTTGGTTTTGTACCACAGGATTTATAAGGTATTTTAGATGTTTTAATGTGTAAATATAGGTTACTGGAAGTATCTGAGTTTTCAAGCTTTTCGACATAGAATCAGTGTTACAGCACCATCTGTTGTTCAGACATCAAATTATTTCCCGTTGGAGGGGCAAATGGGAATAAGACTAGTAGAAGTGAATAATTAACTGGGAAATAACTTTGGATGGAAAGAAATGGTACAGGCAGAACCTTCATATTAGAATTTGCTGACACTAATTCCCTCAGAAGATACTTCAGAACTTGCCTTTTTGATATATACAATTATGGCATCAAATACCCAAGTGGGCTTCACTAAAACTGGTTTTCTAGTGGCTGGGCAATTCTGGTTATGAGGTTTGACGATTTAAACCGGTTCTAGCTTCTATTTGATCATATAGGAGGTCCGCCCAAAAGTATCATCAATCTGACTGATGCCGCGTTTGGGGGGCCGCCGGTTGTCCCTAGTCTCAATTGGTTTTGCCTTGAAAAGAATCTGCAGAAAAGATTTGAAAGATTGAGAAGAAAAACCATTATTTTTATACAGAAGAATCTCATAAATGAAACTCAAATATTTGAGAAGAAAATACTATTGTTATCCAACAGCTCAATTTAGAATCAAGATCTCAATGATCAAGAGGAACCAATATGATAAATCAAATAATCAATAAAATAAAATCATATCTGTCAAAACATGATTTTCTTCCGATGCAACAGCACAGCCAAAAAAAAAACTATAACAAGCTAACGGAAGCAGAGGATACTTTGATCGCAGGCAAGGAAAATCTTGTACATCATATCACAGATACTTTCTTCTTTGTTACCCTTCTTCTTTTGGTGTTCTCCACTGCTTCTTCTCTCATCTTCATGAGCTCTTGGAAACAGCGGTGATACTGTGAACCAATCGCATCAAGCTCCAGCTTCAGCTCTTGCAACTTATCCTTCTCTGCTAGGGATAGAGAGCAGATGCTTGACAAGCTCATATCTTGTGACGCAAAAGAACAAGAATCCGTTAAGGATGTATCAGAGTTCTTTGTGGAGTCGTTTATCAGGACAGATTCCCTAAGGTTTTCCTCATCACTGGTCTCTTTACACCCGAGATGGTTATAAACCCCAATAGCTAAACCAAAATCATATGTGCTTGAACTTTTATGGCACTCACCATAACTGTAACCAGAAGACCCCATTGGTTTGTTATTACTCCCATCTGACACCACCATTCCATCAGATTCAGCTGATATATCTGAACTGACAGACTCTTGGGTGTCTTGACATTTCACAACAGCCAACTCTGAGAAAACTTTTTGCTCACCAACCGTCTTAATAGTGGCCCGGCTTGGGCAGCATAAGCCGTCTTGTAGGCATGAAATGCTTCCAAACGAAGGTTTCCAGTAGGGTACAAGCTTCATGATCATGCCATCAATCAACTCTGCAATGACAGTTACATCTTCATTTGACAAATCAAGTTGTTCAACCATCTCCTCAGCAATTGAAATAGCAGTATCAGAATCTCGGTAAAAGGAAAAATGGATATTCCTTGCTCTACCTGTTAAAAAAAAGCGCTGTAGTGCATAATTCTTTTTTCTTTTTTGAACATAAAGAAGAGAGTAAGACTTTTTGTATGGCAGATTCACTTACCATATTGATCAGCAATGCGCAAAGTCAATAAAATTGTATTATCATCATTTTTCTCCCCTTTTAACCTAAATTCATTATTCTTAGTGAAACATTGTAGCTCAAGAGTTGAGAACTGAGGAGTTTCTTTGATGTTTTTTGTAGAAGGATTGGCCAGAAGCCTTTTGCAGTTAGGATCTACATCCATCAGATGAGGTTCACACTGGATTGAGTTTACTATTTTCGGCATAAGATTTGGTAACTGCAGTGGACCACAGGCAACTTCCTTGGGAGTTTCAACCAAAAGGAATGGATCTTTCAAGAGCTCCACAGCTGGCAATCTCATAGATGCTGGAAGAAGGCATTTCTCAATAAACTGCTTAACTTGGGGATCATTCACTTTAGCAAGGGAAGCAGGTTTAATATCCTGCAGGGTAAGAAGTTAAGAGAGTTTAAACAACCACTTAAAAGAGAATTGTGGAAGAAGTATTGGAGATAGTTGTCAACTGACAGAGGTAACTTTCTTATATATTTGTGCTGGATTTTTGCATTCATTATACGGATATTCACAGGTAACCATCTCCAACATGCACAGACCAAAAGAATATAAGTCAACAAGCTCGTTATATTCCTCATCATAAAGCTCTGGAGCCATGAATTCAGGAGTGCCTGCACAAACAACAAAGCATTACAAATTTCAACCAAAATGGTTTAGCTGAAGTCACAACATTACTTATTTTTGAGAAAATGAAGTACCAATTACACTTCGGGCAGTGGGCTGCTGCATGACAGTTGCCAATCCAAGATCTCCGATCTTGACTTCTCCATTATTTCCATTTACAAATATATTATCACATTTTAAATCTCTATGAATGATCGGAGGGTTGTGACTATGCAGATAATGTAAACCCCCAAGGATCTGCCTCGTCCAGTTCTTGATGGCCTTCATGTCAACATTCTTATGCTTCTTACGGTATCTAAAGGCCAAAGCAAATCTCAGCATATCACAAATGAAGACAAAGCCAAGCAGAAAAGAATGGGAAAAGAAAAGAAGATGAAACTCACTGCCTCAAACTCCCCGAAGTAAACAACTCTGTTATCATGTTGATGGTCTTGTTCTTATCATCCACCCAGGAGCTGTAGAACTTGATGATATTTTCATGTTTCAATGACTTCAAAAGATGAGCCTCAGAATATAATCTTTCCAGTTGTTCAGGTGTCTGCAATAAATCTTCGATACTGACTTGGTTCCATGCAACCTCTATTCCATCAGCTTCATCAAATCCCTTGTAACTACAAATAACAATGTAGCAGCCAAAACAGAAGAATCAATCAAACACACTTTCCTATCAAAGTTGACCAAATTTAAAGGAGATAGGTCTTGAAACCATACACAGTCTTGAATGCTCCCTTGCCCAGGATCTCATCATACTGAAGGAATTTAAAAAAAAAAAAAAAACAAAAATTGTATCACTCAAACCAAAACAGCAAACTATTTAAGGAATATATAATAAGCATATCTTGGACAACATTGGCATTTTGGTTGGCCATGCATGTGTTCAAGTTTAATTTTGTTAAAGGAATTATTTATAATCAAAGTTTGTCATGTTCATTAGAATGGAAGTACAAAAAGCAATTAATTCCTCTTTTCGACAAAAAGCAAGAAAAAAATTATTTACACCAAGAGCTGTAAAAAGAACAAAAGATGAGATTTCCAAGATTATTAATTTAATAGAAGCTAAGGATAATCAAATGTGGTTAAATTCAGGTCAATTGATTGCGTTACTCAAACTTAATGATATTTGGTTGCTAAGAAAATTGATCATGGACTGCAATTTAACAAATTTTTACTAAATTAAGCCTAAACACTTAGGAATATTTGATTATTATATAAAGTTCCACAATTTCCTTGAGAAATCGATAATTACAAGTCATATTACTTTTCTCCATGTTTCTCGGCAATCAAACAGATACTAAATGACCCTAACAAAGCCAAACGGAATAAAAAAATATATAAAAGAACAGGATTCGGAGCCAAAAATCATACCCGAACGTACCGACCCGACGGATCTTTCTCAGCGAAATCACAATCATCGGCCGCGTCCATTTTTTTTATGTACAAAGAACTAATCGCCGCCACAACCAACAAAACCGGATCGAAATTTCCAACAACAACAGCCAAAAGAAAATCCACAAGACAAAAGAAAAGAAAATCCAATTTAAGGGAAAAAAGGCAGAAACCGCTATTAGAGGTCAATTTTGACCCCGATTGGAATCGAGCACGAGGAGGAGAGAATCTGTTGTTGTTTTTCGGAGAATGCCTCACAAGCTACGGAGTAGGAATCGAATGCCGACCGGAATCGAAATCGGCTTCCTAATGCTACGGTCAAACGTATATCTTCCACCGGTTCCCGATATTCCAATTCCATACGGTTATTTCCTCCTCGATTCGATTTTATCTTTATTTTTATACCAATCCCAAATTCTCCCCCCATAGTGCTATCCGCATGTTAATTTCTCCTACTTTTCTATGATTCACAGAATTTGTGAAATTCTGAGGTAGCAGCAATTCTAATCACTGGAAATTTCGGAGAGCAAAGCTTAAAAAATTTATGGAGGACTAGGGCAGCTTAACTAATCCAAATTTCCTTTTTATTTTTATTTTTTTTAAGAAGCTTAGACAGAGCTATCATTGTCGCCAACGGCATATGGGATTTGAGGGAATCACACGCGCATATTCTAGAGCGTGCGTTGAGGTAGGATTTTTTTTAAAAGGGATTCTAATTTCACGGAATAGGAACGTTGGTGTTAATTGTTATATTGTAGTCGCTGGAGGAACGTAGAAGTCTTTGTCATTGGGGGATTCTTTTTCTCTTCTAATTTGTTTATTAGTTATGGAATTCTTTTTTTTTTAAATATATAATTAGAAGCTAATAAAAGGGGTGCACAACGATCAGTCATGAATCACTTGGCATCAATGAGTTTGGATCGATTTCAGGGTGGTCGTAGATTTTAACGGGTTATCGATGGTCCAAATATTTTAGGGCGGATAATGTTAGGGTGATTCCCAATCCTAAACACTTATTTATCCGCTCCGGATTGAGGATCGAAACTTTGGACTGAATATAAATAATTAAATATATAATATTTAAATATATAAAAATGAAACTAATCTCAAAATATATATAATATTTTTTGTGCATTTATTAATACTATTAATTTATTTATTCTTAGATAGGTCAATAAAAATGTGTATTACAAGTACAATGTTTGAATTTGAAAAAATTTCTTTTATAAATTTGTGGCTGTGTGCAGTTTGAATTTTGTAATATTTAATTGTAATAACTAATATGCATTATAACGTGAATTCATGAATTTGGATTATGTGATTGTAATTTTTTAATTATGTTAAAAAGCTATTATCTAAATATATTTTAAAAAATAAAAATAAAAATCAATTTTAGATTGTACTGGATTGAGTCTGTTTGAGTGATCTACAATTTAAGATTTGTGGATTAGTCCATGATACAAAATTTTTAAGATTACCTATGGTCCAAATTTCAGAATCATCTGTCCGAACCATGCACACTCTTTATGGTAATTGGCAAAAGGTTACACCATAATTTGGAATATTCATAAATGACCAGCGGTGCTGCCAAATTAAATAAAGTCTAAATCTTTGGGAAAAAAGTCAAATTTCCTAAAAAAACCCAAAGTCAAATTTTGAAGATTAGTCAAATTTCCTAGAAATACCATAGTTTTTGCACTTTCCATTTATCAGTTTAATTGTATGCTTAAGCCTTTCATAGCTACTATGACAATAACAATAATAAAACGTCTAAAATTTGTTTCGAGAGATGCTCAGGTTCCAATTTGCATAGAAAGTCGAAACCCACTACTTGAAGGAACAAATACTGGGTTTTGGTAGCATCAATTAAACTGATCAATGGTTTTGAGTAGCATCAAGCATGTATCATATGCTCGTCAGATGGTAAATTTTTTCATACAACAATCACACGTCAGAACATTTGACATGCCATCGCTTGAACTGGCAGAATAAAGAAAATCATGACCATGAAAAATTCTTAATAGAATCCTAAAAGCCCATGTTTGAACAGATACTCAGCCATTAGTTGATTGAATCTGAATTAAGAAAAGTGAAATATCCAGAGACACGGAGCTATCTTCGCCTCAATTTATCATTGCTAATTGGTTGAAATGTGAAAGAAACATACGAAAATATGTACTCTCCACATGCAGGAATCTTTGAAACTACCATTCATCATACAACTTGACAATATCAGCTTCATCAGACTAGTTTAGCTCCACAAAAAGGCTGGCCTGAGGATGTAATCCTGCCTCTTTCAAGGTCAAGGAGCGCTTCTCTGGACCATAAGCAACTCGAGGAAAGTTGGAGACGAGGCTATAATCCTCAACTTCTAAGCAACCCAAAGAATCAACATAGTCATAAAGAGATTGGATTGTTGCAGTACTGTGAAACCTCCTTTCTTTGCGTTCACCAGTAGGAAAGCGTACCAAAACCTGATTTGCCAACAGAACATGCAAACATTTAATACGGAGATATTAAGTGTGCCAATAGAGAAAAGTGGAAAATGCAGGATGGCGGAGAAAGAGGGGGGAGGGAGAAGAAAAATGTTACTGTCCTAGATCGCAAGTTTGCAACAGAATGACAGATAATTGGAACTGAGATAGTAAGGTTCTTAAACCAGCTTAAGTAGAACTAAAAAATTTAAGTCAAACCCAAAGAGAAATTACTTGTGAAACATTTGGTCCTTTCTCAGGTTCACCACCAAGGGACAAGGCTTTTTCTTGCCGCATTCTAGCTCGGGCAGCCTCCTTTTCAGCAGCTTCACGTTCTGCTCTTTCACGAGCCTCTTCTTCTTCCTTACGTTTCCTCTCAGCTTCTGCAGCTTCCCTTTCCAGACGTTCTTGCTCCTCTCTCCTCTGCCGTTCCCTAGCCTAATGTCATAAAAGAAATGGCAAGGTTACGACAGTGTCATCTCATCCATCAAACGGTACTTTTTAAAGCACAAATATCTTCAGTGAGCAAAAGAGGGTTCTTGTTTTTCTTTTTTAGTCCTCTTGGAATATGATGGTAGCAATGAAAAAAACTATTGTATGCCATCTGCTAAAAACTGATTAAACATTATTAAAGCCACTAATTTAAGATTAAAATGCAGCCTACTTGATCAGCTTCAAGCGCTGCTCTGTAAGCAGCGTCTTGCTCCTCCCTTAAACGCATGTTGTTTCTTCGCTCCTCTGCATCCAGTCTTGCTGCAACAAGAACAGGAGCACTTTCTTCAAGAACTCTCTGTAGTATTGTGAGAATTTCTTCTGGAGATCTTGGTCCCTCAACCTGAGGAGAAAGAGAATAGTTCATCATAATACTCAAAGACAGGATTACCATTCAGAATATTGGCATTCCTGTGGTTCAATACATTCTGAAGTAAGGGGCAAAGAGAGTGAAGTTTAATAAAGAGATAACTTCAAACAGAATGTAGCATAAAGCTGGAGTGAGTCAATGTTGGAATATAAAAGTCAGTGGGGATGAGCGAAATCTGCTTGCTTTTAACTGCAAATTAATATTATGCCTTTTCTTTTTTAAGTTCCTTCTCTAACAGTTTCGGATATGAAGGTTAAATTCCTTATAAGACAGATGCGAGTGGAATGAGCAAAAAGATATTTTCATCATAGTCTATAGTTATGCTGCCATTGGTCATCTCTAAACAAGCATCACCTATATAATCAACTATAAATTAACATAATTGGCAGCTCAATGTCAAGCCTCTTGAATTCAACACTTATGTGGAATTCAGAAAGTGAAAATGCTATTGAAAGTGTATAAACCTGATTTCAGAAAGTGATCCAGTCTGCACACAGACAGAGCTACACCCATTCAATTAACCATTTATAAAGACAAGTCAAGAGGAAGCAACCTAAAGTTTAAAATAATGAGAAACTTAAGTGCTATTAAAGTTCCTGATCAATTTACTAGAACATACACAGAGAAACAAAGTTAACACGTAGTTTGGCGATGACTTTACTAGAACATATACAGGCAGACAAAGTTCACGTGTAGTTTGGAATGAAGGAAGCATAAAGTTAAGCTGCATCTCAATGTAAAGAGACTGAAAAAGTAATGTTCGATGGTAGCACAATATTAATCTCAAAATGCCTTGTGACAAGATACGAGGAACTGCTATCTGGCATAATGAAATCAGATAAGCTTTAGTTTAATTAATCATCAAAAGATGATTTATTCAGCATTTTGTTTCTTCAACAAAGAATCCATATGCCTTGTTATTGGCCATGTAAAACTTAAGTTCCTATCTATAAAATCCATATTCCAAGTTATTTACAAACAGATAGAACAAAAGTAAGCAGAAATTACATCTAAACTTCGTGCTCAGAAGAACCACACTGACAAAACGACAATTAGAATGAAAACCCTGATTTTCACCCACTTATCCACAACACAGTATTGCACTCATAAATTTACTCAAATTTGTCTGAGAGCATGAACAATAGGTCAATTTCAGTTTCTGACTTCTGCAAAAGGATAACTAATCACTGTGATCTTTTGCACTCGAAAACAGTATCAAGATAACAACTTATCCAAAACAAAAGAGAGAATCACGATGTTGATACCTGTTGAAGAAGTGCGATCCTCTGGTTCGTAGCGGGCATTACCATGGCACAAAACGGGAACCTGGAGGCTTTCAAGCTATTACTCATTTTAAAACCTTCACTAGCCCTAATGCTGCCGCCCCAAGCCACGAAATTCTCATTCAAAAAGGCCACCACCACCTCTGAACACAAAGTCCGTTCACAGAATACAGGTGAATCGGGGTGGTCCGGCGAGTGCAAGTACACAAACAACAGCTTAAAGGCGTTCCTTGACCTCTGCAGCGCGTCCATGAAACCCTCGCCGACAAAATTCGGCCTCCTAGTACCGTATTCTCTCTCAAATGTTGCCACGAAATCTATGGCTTCAGAAGCCGTAGCTGAGACCGAGACTAATCGTGCCGATGATTCCCCGCCCCGGCCAGAGCCCACCCCGATCATCCCAAGGGAATACGAAAGAACTCCGCCCGCCGCCCATAGACCGAGCCCAACAGCTCTGGAGATCAACCCTAGACTACCAGATATCACAGAGATCGGTAATGTAACGAGTTTCCACGCCAAACCGGGGGAGGGAGCGGCAACGAGACCGGAACCCGAAGCGGATTCGGTCCGGTTAAGTGAATCGCGAGTCCCTGAGTCAGGAGTAGTAGTCGAAGCGGAAGTTTGATTCGAAGAGGTGAAGGAAGAGATGGCGAGTTCCAGGTCCCAACCATGGGCCTGGAGGATTTCCGTACACAAATCGGGATCTTCGAGGCCCGTGATCGCTTGAAAATATGCCAATTTATCGGCTACATCAACCATTTCTCGATAATTTACAAAAATAATAGATTAGGGCTTTTCCGTTCTTTCTTGAAGAGAAATGAAAGAGCAAGAACACGAAGACGACCAGGGAACTTTCTTCGTTCTTTTTTTCTTTGGTTGGTTTGTTAACGTGAAAATGGACTGGAATGTTCTAAACACTGTTTGGGGTTCCTTCAAAAAAATAAAAAACAGTGTTTGGGGTTTATGGATTGACGAAGATCAGGTTCAGATTGTTTGGAATTGCCTACCAGAATTGGGCGCCAGAATGTTGTGAAATTACAGAACTACCATTGTCTTTCCTTGTCTTTGAAAGTTGTAAGTGAAACTCTTTTTAACTTGTTCAGATCTTTGGTTCCAGCTTCTATAGCGACTCGTTGTGAGACTAACAGATATGCTAGTCGACGTCGTTTAGTACTTGGCTTTGTTGCCAAGAAATGGAAACCCCCTCGGGTTCCTTTTCACACCTGTCAACATGTTCATGTAATACAACATTCCCAAATTGAAAATTGTTAAGGGACAGTTGTAAGCAAGATAATTTTAAACATAATACAATACAAAAATATATAAAAAATAAAAGTAATACGAATTAAAATTTTAATAAAAATCCAATAAATATTTGAAAAAATAGATAACCATAAATACATGAATCACACTCTAGATATAATCTACATGTCCTCTATCAAAACTTTGCCCTTGTTTTCTGCATCATTCTCCATTTTCAAAAAACTCTTATTGCCTACATAATTCATGAATGAGCTCTTTTTCGCTCTCACTATGGCTGCTAAAGAAGACCATACTTCCCTTGGTTGCTCATGAACCCAGCACATGATGAAATAAACCTTCCCTTCACCAATCTTCAGCTTGCTTCTGATTTCCGACTTTCTCAGCTTTCTTTGTTTCTCGGATTTTAACTCCCTTCCCCCAGCCAGAATCATCCTTTGCAGATCACAAAGCATGCAGATTAAAGCAGGACCCCCGAGAGAAAGTAGGCTTGCTACATCATCAACAAGAGCCAACCCAAATTGCAAGCCACCAATATGCCTGTAACCTGGGGAGCAAGTTTGCTCCAAGCAATAAGACAGTTTCCCGCACAGTTTCTGGCTTTCCAGATTGACCCAATACACAGGATATACTCAATTCCACCATCGCAGATCCTATAGCATCGGATTGCCAATCTCCATTGTAGATGCGAAGTGTGAAGCAGTAGCTATATACAATATCAACCAAATGAACAGCTAGAAGTGGAGATGGTTCAGTAGATATGAGCTTGCCAAGTGAAGGGAGCGGAGTTTCAGGGCCAAGAGGAATTCCACTTGATTCGTTAGTTTCTAGATCCTCTTCTGCTGACACTGATGCTTCCTGATCGGCCATAGGTTGTACAAGTCGAGTTCCATCCTTGCTCAGACAGATGGTTGAAGCAGCAGGTTTTAACCACCAAGGATCCCATGGCTCAATCATCTTGCTCAATTCTCCAGATGCAACAGCTCTTTGGAACCATTTCCTCTCTTCAGGAAACAAATCATCCAAATTAACTTCACCTCCTATACAAAAGAAACAACAAATCAACTCGAATTCGAGTTCAAGCAAAAAGAACATAATCCATAAGACAAATAACATGGGATGAACCCAAAAACATAAGGCCAATACCTGACAAAATCTTCTGAATAGTCTCATCTGAAAGAGGTGAATCTGCCAACAAATAAAAAGTACTCGATTAAATTTTCATTGACTAATTCAATCAAGGCTTATTCCAGGAAAGCTAAACAAATCAAAGCAAAAAATTTAAAAATAAAAAGTTGGAATTAAATAAATAAAATACAATCACAATCTTCATCTAAAGAATCGGTTTCTTCCTCTGAATGAAACCGTTTCAGAATTTCAAGCATTCTCCGTTTAGTTTCATCGTCAGGCTGCAGTTGTCGCAGCTCTTCAACTACATTTTCTCGCATAAATGATTCAGTACAGCGAAGACTATGAGACTGCAACAAACAAAATCACCCCCCAAAAAAACTTTTTATTTCGATTCAAAATAAATTTTAAAAATTCAATTCCAATTGGATAAAACGTTAAATCGAGGCTACCTTGTAGCAATGAAGAGAGCAGTAGCGGGAATTACATCGAGGGCAAGTGTATTGCGAGAATTGCTTCTGACACCTGTTTCAAATCAGTGGAAAATTGAGTAAAGATTAAATATTAGACAAATAATTCAACATAAAAAGAGTTTGGAAGAACAAAAAAAAAAAAGAAAACTAAAGAAGAAAAGGAAGCACATACACATGGCAGATTATTGGGGAGGGAGGATTCAACGGGGACGAACTGGAAGGTTTTTCTGATGTGAGGATTGTTTCCGACATCTTTCAAAACTTGGTTCAATTCAAAAGGTTTTGATTTGGTTTTCAGTTCAAGTAAAAAAGAGGCTCGAAAAGCCTAGAAAGGTCCAGGAAGTTTTGGGCTCTTTAACCCTGCAATTGCTTTTGGGCGTCGACCCCAAACGACAGAATTTGGGACTTTGGATTAATCAATAAATCATTTTAAGCACGGCAGCAGTGTCAACCAAACTTGGCACATACGATTAGAGCAATTTCTTACAATGATCCTGCTAACTGTTACGTTCTTGTGTTGAATTAGTCTTTTACACGAATGGTTTAGTTTTGTTCTTCTTTCTTACGATCTATGAATTCATTTTCTGACAAATTACATAGGAACTCAGACCTTTTGAAGTGCCCTCATGGTTCCCTCAGTTTTCTCTTCAATCGTTACAATTTCATCTTTCATTTGGCTTTGCTTGGACCCGGCATCACGGGTTGCGAATTCAGCTAACTTGCCCAGTTCTTCCACAGCATCAACAAGAGCTTCGATCCGGACAACAATTTCAATTAGTATAGAAGCCAAAGTCACCACTGGTATGATTTCCATGAGAGGGACTGTGGGTGTTGTAGCTTCCATGCAGGCTGTCTCCAAATTTTTGTTTTCTGGACCTGATGAAGGATTTAACAAATAAGAAAGGGATTTTAAGTCATTCTGTAGTTCTTGCACTGCACTATTCATTTCTCCAACCAACAAATCTATAGTGGATGACTTCTTCATTGTCTTCACTGTTTCTGCTAGCTCCCTTATGGCACTGGAAGAGCTAGAGCTCACTTTCAAGCAACTAGAGCTGAGATGCTTCTTTATTAATTCAGCTGCCTGTTTAAAATATATAAAACAACCGACGGCAGCCCTGAATTAGTACTCTATCATATTATTATTGAACAAATTATCAGATCAATCTAAGTTTTTTGAACTTGGGTTACCTTATTTTCTGAATTGATGCAACTGTTAAGAGCCTCTATGCAGTAAGCACAACTGCGCATTGATGCCCCAATTTTCAGGTATTGTTTCCATGGGTGCCGGAAGTTGAACCGGCCATGGGAAGGCTCCCACCTAGCAAGATGTGCCTGTAGGAAACGATGCCAGTTTACTAATCAGGTCAAAAGTTATAAGAGGGGCATTAACAGAATTATCCTCTTTATTTGTCCTGTCACTTACCATAGATTCTTCTGTTGCCTCGGAGCTTAGCACGCACTTGTAGCCTTGCAACTTTTTATCAGCCTCTTCGTTGCTGTTGGTGCACTCCCCGATCTGATTAAAATACTGTGTTACACAACCTGAAACCATAGTGGGAAAGATAGGTTATTAGCACGTTGAGTTGAAAAACAAACTACTTATATTATGAACCAGAACTATATAGAAAAAGAACTAACCATTCAGGGAATCGGCGAGTTTGTCCATGTTACCGACAATCAGGCTATGCAGCTTCTGACCAGACCAAATGGGGCAAACAAGCATGATTACAAGAATGCACAATGAAGTTCCAATGATAATGGTGGATATTCTTTGATGGGCCAGGTCAAACAATTTATCCTCCCTATAGCCTGATACCGCAACGAAGCTGAAGGTGAGTACGAACATCTGGGCACCATACTCAAACAAGGATTTTGCTGATGGAATGAATTTAGAGAAGGTTGCTGCCGAAGCTGAAGAAAGAATTAAAGACAACAGCAAGGATTAGAAATGTCTACATAAAGACAAAGAAAGAAAATTACATGATTACTATCAAGAAAACTCTACAAACCTAATATGAAAACTGAGGCTCCCACAACTAGGGGCTCAAATCTCTCTCCTGATCGACTGGCAACCCAATGTACCCCAACAGCAAGAAATCCGGCTAGAAAAGTTCCACAAACTCTGTTCAAACATTTGTATAGGGTCCCTCCTGTGATGAGGTAAAGTTGAGATGTTCAGCTTAAATAACCTCCTTCTCAGGGAAAGAAAACTATAAAGTTTTGAAGAAGTTGGAATACTTACCAACGGTTGGCTCAAATACTACTACAACTGTCATAACAGCCCACATAGCATTTCCTCCGAAACCATCATTCAAAGGCCTCATAAAGTAGAAGAGTGATACAATTGTGAGTGCCAATCCTGCCTTAATGCAATGGATCACTTTTCTAGGATCATTAGCCCCTAATGTCCATGCTTTCTTCAAAAACATCCATACTTTCAAAGCCAAGCCTGAAATTAGGCCTTTCGTTCCTAGCCAGGCCTTTCTTGCAAGCCCTGTAGCGGGTACCAAAACCTCTGATGAGCCATCTGCCACCCTTATCCTCCATTCCACTTGCTCAAATGCTTCCTTCCCAGGAGCCATCTTTTGTGCTGGTCGAGACAACCAATATTGAAATTATACAGAAATGATTGGTGCTAATGTTAGGCTGAGGCTTTGTTGATGAAAAGCAGTGTGTGACTATTGTCTTATTTAAAGGGGACAATTTGAATCTGGTGCTGCTGATCTTTTCAAGAAAATGGAAATTAAAACAAATTCTAATTGCATGGGGATTCTAGAGGCAATTTCTTACCTTTTTGGTAGGTAATAAGGTCGTGACGTGGACATAAATGTGACCAAATTTAATACTCTCCTTTCAACTTTTAACTCTGGGAATCACACATCCTTTATACCATTATGTTTTGCTTTCTCTTTTATAAAGCAAGAATGATTTAATAAACGACAATGCAGTCGTCACCAAGCAACATTTATGCAAGAAAATTCTCTTTACAAAATGAATGTCAATGAGGCATATGTATCATCACTTGGAACAAACTTAATAAATTTACTTGACATTCTGCTGAAGGCTCTTGCCTAGCACTCTGATCATGTTTAGTTAAAACTTTTTAAGTATCTGCTATATTTTGAGGTTTAGATATCAAGGTTCAATCTCTCATTTTCCTTCTAGGTAAAGTCTCCCGGGATATTGGCACTCTCAGGTGATATTAATTTAGATGGAAACAAAATCTTTTGATGACCTAAAACCAAATTTATATTGGGGAGCAGCTGACATAATGTGTCCTAAATTTTAAAGCTAAACGCCAGCAGACCATGATTTAGGTCATAAAAATAGTAGTATTAATTTTGGCTTTTTGTTCAACTGTCCTACATAGTGGATCTCTGAATGGAATCCTCTCTGATCTGTCTCATGCAGATAAGAAAATTAGGAAACAGTACCAATCTTTAGATAATGCATGTTAATATCTTGATTCCTTATGTCTTGTAATGTCAGTTATCTTGAATTAGCCATAACTTGATCCCGATATCTTCCGTACGTACGTATGCAATGGTCTTGATTGCTTGAATGTAATTAACAGTGCTAATGTGCTATTGCAATTCCACCTCCTAACCTATTTTTGGCTTATAGAATGCTATCAGAGTTAATGCAAAGGCTTTGAGATCATAATTGCATTTCATGCAGCATTCCACAACTTACTATGACTGTATAATCATCATCAAAATCAGCAAAGTAGATTTTGGACAGAGAAAAGGTCGAAAACTATAGCAATGATTTAGTTTCCTACCAAGAAACAAACTGCAATGCCCTGAAGATTATTTGCATATAATTATGGAGTGAGTAATCATCAGAAAAGCTATAAATGTCATGCCAAAATGAATCAGTTATCCTTCTGCTACGCTAAATTGAGCATTGCAACTGCAACAAAACCTCCCCTCCAGTGATCTTCAACTAAAGTGGAAAGGCCTACATGAATCTATGAATTTTAATTTATATCATTTGTTAATGACAAGCAGGACAAGGAAGTTGTAAAAAATATAGCACGGGCCCAATGTTTAAAATTCCTTCGTTGAGGCAAATTAGGTCATGAATAGGACCATCAAGGCTCCCACCTTTAAATTAAGTGGTGCACTAGGATGTTAAACACGGTTTTAATTGGGCTATGCTGATTTCACTTGAATGGAGAGAGCACTTATCTCCTGATATTGGAGTCTTTCCACAGCTGCAGTGCACTGATTTGAAAGGCTAATGCAGCTATCAGAATTTACCTTTCCATTCATACAGGGTCTGCTTTTTCCTCAAAATTTGACTATCATTTGCTTAATATGGTAGTTGAACTAGCTTTACACTTTGCTAAAAGCTGATGCTGACCTCCAAACTCCTTCTTAATTGAAGGTTTAAAATTTTAAATAAATCCTCCTATACCCAAGAATTCAAAGGTTTAGAGATTTTTTTCCCTTTGTTTTTGCTTCCACAATTTACAATAAGTTTTCCAGAACTATGTTGTTAAGCAAAAGTAACGACAAATCTATATAGAGAATCCATTTTTTATTAGCTTAATGGTGGAGGAAGCACCAGCCTCACCAGCTCAAGTCGCGTATAATAATGCCGAGGTTATTATATGATAACCTCTCACATCAGATACCTTACCTACTGAAAAGAAATCGTATTCTAGTTCTAGTGTCACGGACCTAAAGAAGAGTCTTGAATCTCACATCGAACATAATAGGAAGGTCACTGGGGTATAAAAGGGTTCACACCATCTCCGTCTTGTGAGGCACCTTTTGGTAAGACAAAAACTGTGAGGTCATGAGGGGCCAGAGCGGACAATTCTTAATAGTTAAGTTTGACTTGTAACAGAAAAATTCTAAAAGGAAATGGATTCTTAATAGGTAAGTTTGACTTACAAGAGAAAAATTCTAAGAGGAAAGGGATTCTTAATGGGCACGTTTGTATGGTTATAAATAGGTAAAGTCTCTACAGGGTTAAGCATGAGAAAAAGATGTAAGAGAGTTATACGATTTTATAGGATAGACATCCCATAGGAGTATTAAGGCTCTAGGTGTGTATGTTTGTGAGTAGACTAGAGGAAACTGAGAGGGTCTATATAGATATGATGTATGGGAGCATATAGGTATGTGTTTGGCTATGTTGAAATGGTGTACAAGGGTTTGGGTTTGTGTTTATTTGGGTTGAGAATATTTCATAAGACTAAAGGAGATTGAGAGTGTCTTATGAGTATTGATTGTTGAGTGAGGTTGATAATTTGATGTATGTTTGTAATTCTCTACAACTAATGGATCTTGTTTATCATCCGTGAAGTCGTATTCTAGGTTAGCATAAAATTATACTGCAGTTCGGGTGTATACTCAATTTTTTTCATGTACTTACATCAATGGGATTATGAGTTTGAGAGAGCGTAGTATTTATTGGGAATATTAACTCAAATTTCATAAGAGATTTATTTGAGATTTGTCAGATATTGTTTGATGGACAAGAAATCTTGCAAAAGAAGAATTCTAAGAGAAAGAAGATTCTTAATAGTTAAGTTTGACTTGCAACAGAAAAATTTTAAAAGGAAATGGATTCTTAATAGGCAAGTTTGACTTATAGGAGAAGAATTTTAAGAGGAAAAGGATTCTTAATGGGCAAGTTTGTATGATTATAAATAGGTGAAGTCTCTACAGGGTTAAGCATGAGAAAAAGATGTAAGAGAGTTATAAGATTTTGTGGGATAGATACCCCATAAGAGTATTGGGGCTCTAGGTGTATATGTTTGTTTGTGAGTAGACTAGAGGAAACTTAGAGGGTCCATATAGGTATGATGTATGGGAGCATATGGGTATGTATTTGGCTTTGTTGAAATGGTGCACAAGGGTTTGGATTTGTGTTTATTTGGGTTGAGAATACTCCATAAGACTAAAAGAGATTGAGAGTGTCTTATGAGTATTGATTGTTAGTGAGGTTGATAATTTGACGTATGTTTGTAATTCTCTACAACTAATGGATCTTGTTTATCATCCGTGAACGTAGGTTGATTGAACTGAACCACGTTAAATTGTTATCTTTTGTGTGTTTGATTTATTATTTGATTTTACTTCTGCTGATGTGATTGAATTGAAAGTTTTTAGCCTAACAAATGATATCAGAGCTGTGGTGTTCCCCAACAAGTGGTATCAGAGCTAAATGTTAGAAATGTGAGAAGAGTTGAAGATTCAAGACATGGAATTCGAGACATAGAAGAGCTTGGTTTGAGACATGGAAAGAAGCAAGTCCAGAAGAGCTCAATTCAAGAGAAGAGTTCGAGTTTAAGTTTTGAAGATTGAGAATTGATTTGTATGAAGCGTGAAAATACAAGAGAAGAGAAGATGATTGTGAGACTTTCATTGCAGGTGGAGCCAAACATGTCTAGCATGAAAATAGATGATTGATGAAATTTGAGTCAAGGTGAAGATTGCTTGAGAATATTGACTCAAATCCATAGGAGATTTGTTTAAGAATTTATTCAATTGCTTGATAGACAAGAAAACTCTGCAAAAGAAGAAATTTAAGAGACAAGAAGATTCTTAATCAAGTAAGTTTGAGTTGCAACTAGGAAGAGATTCTAAAGGAATGGATTTTAATGGCAAGTTGAACTTCAGGAGAAGAATTTTAGAGGACATAGATTCCTCTTATATGGGCAAATTTGTATGGTATAAATAGGTGAAGTCTCTATGATTAAGCATGAGAATAAAGATGTAAGAAGTTGTAGGATTTTGTGAATAGACACCCATATAGGAAGTATGGGGCTCTAGGTGTGTATATTTATTTATGAGTGGACCTAGGTATGTATATTTATTTATGAGTGGACTATAGGAGACTGAGAGGGTCTACATAGGTATGATGTGTAGGAGCATATGGGTATGTATTTGGTTATGTTGAAATGGTGCACAAAGATTTGAGTTTGTGTTTGTTTGGATTGAGAATACTCCATAGGACTAGAGGAGATTGAGAATGTCTTATGTGTATTGATTGTTAAGTAAGATTGATAATTTGATGTATGTTTGTAATTTTTTACAACTAGTGGATCTTGTTTATCATCCGTGAATGTAAGTTGATTGGACCGAACCACATTAAATTATTGTCTCTTGTGTGTTTGATTTATTGTTTGATTTTACTTCCGTTGATGTGATTGAATTAGAAGTTTTAGCCCACAACAATAGATATCAGTTATGCTGTGTGTTGTTTCTCTCTCCAACACAGTGTATTAAGCCCAAATTACTATATAATATATGACAATGCGTCTTTTTGATTATAGTAAGCATGTTAATCTGAAGAAAATTTTCAACACTGTAATGGAAAATCACTGGGATCAGAAGCAGGTATATATTTTGGACGCAAAATTTGAAAAGACAAAGCAAGCTAGATCTATTGATTATTGTACTAATTAAACAACAATAGAAGGACCAAGAAAAAAAAAAAGAATTAGCGGTTAGCCTACAACTGTCATCTGCTGTGGATTATAAACAAATTATGGCAGGAGCAGCAAGCAAGAAGCTAAAAGCTAGGAACTATATAGTTCAATATCCATCAGTTAGGCCCCTCGCATGCAAAACAGATTGGTCCCCGGCCAATGATGAGACAAGTTTTTATCAGGGCTTTGCGCCTTGTGCTGGCGGGCTCCACATCCCATAGTCTCTCCTCCCTTTTCAGAAACTATAGAGGGAGCAAACGGATCAGTTGCTACACCTTTGAGAATATTTCCTAGTCTACCAATGATATACATTGTGCCTAAGGCAGTTGAAAATGGAATGAAGAACCTCCTCTGTCTTCAGTTTTGGCTCTTCAATTTCCAGAGCACCAATCACAGCAGGCCCTTTAGATGTGAATGCTCAAGGTACTTCTGGAACCCTTAAATGTGTGTTCTAGTTATTGAAATGTCTCAGCCATGCTGACAGGAGGCAGCAACAAAGGTTGCTGGTAATATTTGAATAAGGAAATCCCACCATCGATGTCCCTGCTTGGCTGACTTGCAGAATCAATCCTACCGATGCCAGTTTGCTGCAGAAGCGGTAGAAGAGACCAAATTATATATGCCCTTTGCACTTGCTCGTTTGCCTGTCATATTCACTTTACGGTCAGTTCCTTGTAATCATATTTAAGTTATCTCAGTACATTGCTTTGAATTCTTAACTTCCGTATTACCTCAACAATGAATCGTGCCCATATCTTATCTTCTTGGAGCTCCATCACTCCCTTCAAGATATTCAAACCCAAGGCCCTAATGGCATCTGCTATCTCAAGAAAGAATCCTCGAACTTCACAGAGCATCTGCAATAGAGAAATGATAGAGGCTTGGTAAAACCATCAAGATTGTTTAATTAGCTAATTATTTTTATATAAGTTTAATTAGCCAACTCTGAGTAGACTTTCTTTGGTTTTTACATCTAAAAACAAAATTCATGTGCCTTTTCATACCTCTATAAGCATTTGGCCAGGTGGATTTAGGTCCTTAACTAGAATAGGGATACTCTCAGCCCCAACTTCAAATGCCCATGCAGCACCACCACTCATCTTGTTGTGTTTGGGAAGCATTCCATTCTCCTGGCCAATAAGCTAAAGTTCAAGCAAGTTCGTTAATGCATTAGTGAACTGCAATCACCAAATCTGAGATTCTTCAGTATCATATTTCACTGAAATAAACAAACTGGTTACCTTAGGCTCATCAGCTTGTTTAATCTTGTCTGCATATTTGGTCATGCCTTGCAAGAAAAGCAGGTGTTTGATGGTCCGCTCCAATAGATGATCAATGCTCAACTGCTGCATCATGGAAATAATGTAAGCCACTTTATCAATGAAACAAATGCTTCATTGTGCTACAAAAGCATTGATCCCAGAAACAACTTTAGATGATAATGCTTAAAAACTAGAAAACTAATAGCAATCTTTAAAGTAAACAAAACGTTTGATGATCCTTACAGAATTTTCCAGATAATAGCAAGCATAATTTTTCCTACTATATACTCAATTAAGGCAAAGACTTGTCATTACTACCTTTCCACTATGAGGGATAATCCCTCTCAACTCTTTGATACGATCTTGGATCAGCTGACGATCTTTGGGCCTTGGTCTAGTACTTTCGCCAGGTTTAGCCCTTTTCCTGGAGGGCTTCTTTGATGTTGCAACAACAGCATGTCCAGCGTTTACACTGTAGCTATCATCCATCCATAAGCCTTCTTGTGATTTATGGTGAAACTCTTTGTTGAATATAGTGTTATTACTCTTGTCCCAATTATGTGAATGCTGCACCAGATTCATGCTCCCACCAGAGCAAGAATGACCTACAACACCATCTAGAAGATCCTCAAGGCCTAGTTCAGAGAATAATCCTTTTCGCATGCCAGTCATGGAATGAACATCCAATTCAGAAATGGATTCTGACATTCCTGAAGTAACAGCTGAGTTATCACCATGCAACAATGGCATGATAATATCTTCCAAGAACACCCCAGTTTTTCCAAATCCAAAATCCAGTCCCACAGCGTTAAACAGATCATTTCCATTATCATGAACAATTGTAGATTTCTCTAAATTAGATGTGAATGTATCAGAGATGGAGCTTTGCAATAAATTAGCGGCTGGTCTGAGTGGAATGTCAATTACGGTATCACCTCCTATCAGAGTGGATGACACAGAGGTAACTCCTACTGAACATGAAGGATCCTTAATCATTGTAGCTCCTGCTCCATTGATGTTATGCTGGAGTGAAGTAGAAAACCACTGAGAGAGATCATCCAGTTTAAAGGAGCTGGAGAGATCTGTTGTAAAGTCAACTGGGTTAAACTCCTCAGTAATTCTTTGTAGGTTAATTACACAATCCAGAAGTCCACCGTTAGTTCCAAAAGAATGTTGATTTTCTGCTGTTTTCACAAAGCTGTCTAGAGTAGGTAATTCTGCATCAACCAGTTCTCCTGTGCAATAAAATGAAGTAAACGTTGAATCACCCTGTAAATTTTGTTCCGCATTTCCACCAAGTATAAGATCATTTGCCCTTTTAGGAAGCGGATTTGGAGAATCCCGAATGCTCGTTTCAGATGGCAATGGTGTCTTAAATGAAGTCGAAATTGAACCGTCACTAGTCCACGTACTAGCGCTAGGGGTATCAGCAGCCAAGCAGTTAACAGCGGAGATCTTACCGGATGATATAATTTGAGCTTCTGTGCTACTTGTTCGCAATTGACTTCTGATCTGAGATAAATTATGTTGCACAGAGTTCATATTATGATCTTGAATATCACGCATAAAACTGGAGGATTTAGTTAGTTTCTTTAAGGAACGTGGCCAGCCGTTCGGCTCTCTAGAGCAGCTAACTTGTTCAGTTGTCAGATTCTCCTTGTAAAAATTTCCACATGACGGTAGTGAAGATAAAAATCCATCTAGACAGCATGTTTCAATTTCCAAAGGGGTAAGCCCATGACAACTTCCCATGTCATAAAACAACTTCTTTGCTTCATCCAAAAATTCCAATCTCTCTAATATCTGCAACCGCAGCAAACAACAATTAGTATTTTTCAACGACTCCAGTGCTAGTGCACATGATATGGATGTTTGCTTCAACATTAATTTTATCTATCCTTTTGTTTTAATTATGCATTTTTTAAGTATAAATCTAAATATAAAAAGACTAACCATATATACTACTTTCAATAATCAAGTACTTTAAAGATTAAACAGGATCCCTGGATGATATATTGTACTGTATGTGAGATAAAAAAACACCCATGCTTGAACAGTGAACAACAAATTACATTTCTTCTGAGAACTCCACTTTAGGATCTTCAAATCTTAAAGTTTCTTATGTATAAGGCAACATGCCAGTACTCAAATCCTAGCATTTCCATCTATAAGAAATTAAAACTGTTTGGATTTGCCGTCACACATTTTTACAAGGGTGAAAATTATATCATGCATTTTCAAAAGTACTAACCTTATCCGTGGATCCAAACTGAACCACTCCCCTTCTTTCTATGGATATTATTGCAATTGTCTGCAGATCATATTTGATTATAAATAAATGTAGATTATACAGAGACAAAGGGAAAAGATACTGAAATAATCTGGTTAAACATTTTGACAAATTGAAAGGCACCTTTATCCCACATGAAAATTGGTTTTGGAAGTTAGATTCATCCTGTAAAATGAAGAAAAACATTTGTCAATCTATAGACTAAAACAATGTAATGCCTCTTTGAATAGCCTATTCCCCGGTTGCAAGAGTGTTTCATTAACATCTAACAGTTATAAAGCAGTCCATAACTGAAATAAAATAAAATAAAATAAAAAAAGATAAGGAAAAAAAAAAAATTGGTGGAAACAGAGACAGGAAAAAGGTACCTGAAATATATTTTGATTTCCAGTGGAATCCGAACCTTTACCATGGGAGTCTGAGAAAATCCATTGATGCATTCCCGTGAGAGCGGCTTGGCCAATAATTCTAAGTTGACAAAAACAACAAGATTTGCCCTGTTAGAGATGTTGTAGTACTCCGAATTTTCTCTTCTTGTTTTTAAACTAAATGATCCACAGAGAAAAATTTTGGCAAATTTGAATGTATTTTCGCCACAGCCACTGGATTTACAACAGGAAAGCACCAAATACTGAAACAGACTACTTGATAATTGAGCATACCCTTGACCTAGGATGTGGAATTTTAGAAGCATACTGTCAACCAATGGCCCCATTTGCTCTTCGAAGTAGGCATCTTCCATTGTTAACAACCTGTTAATATTCCCAGAGTGCAATCCATGATAAGCAAAAACTTAGCACTGAAAATCCAGTAGTAAACAAAGAAAATGATGTTTATCACAGTAAACAAATAAATTGCTAAGAAAAATTAGTAAGAAAATCACCATTTTTGGACACCTTTCATTTAAAAATTTTCTAGGGAAAGAAAATTTGTTTTCTGAATTGAAACATGCATGCATATTTCACGATTCGCATGAGGAAAAGACAAAAACGGAATGAAAATAGAAATAACATTAAAAAAAGGATTAATGAATATGAAACTAAAAAAAAGGTAGTAATAAAAATTTTAGCAAAGAAAGGAGATCTTGAAACAAACAAAAAGCCAAAGATAACAGAAATTTGGAAGAAGCAAACGACATAGAAAACAAAACAACGATCAAGTAAATATTACCAAAAAAGAGACAAAAACAAAACTTTACATTGAATTTCTCTTATCAAAGCGCCAAAAAACACCGTAAGACCACCCATTACAGCAACAAAGATACTTCAGTGTCTGCTCTAACACTGAACCCATCTCTGCTTCACCCATTTTCACAAAAAAACTGAACACAACTTCACGATCCAAAACTCACTTCCTTGAACCCCATTGAATGACTTCAGGCCCCTTCAAAGTACTAAGCTGAAACTCCAGTTAAACTAAAGTACTACAAATTGCCTCTCTTCTTCTTTTTCTTGCAACAAAAACGCTCAAAACCAAACAAAAAAACCCAGAAAACCACTGAGAAAACAAAAGCAAAAGGGCACAACAGAATGAGCTTTTTGTTTATGTCGTCTTTGTTTCTCTGCTGCAAGAGAAATAAAAACAGAAAGTGGTCGATGAGAGAGAGAGAGATAAAAAGCGGGGCTCAATGTATTATAGATATAATAAAAAGAGAAACAAAGGCAAGAACCAAAATTTATGATTTATAAAGCAAAAGACAGAAGGGGGGTGGTGTTTTTTAGTTTTTCTCGCTTTGATCTCTTCCTTTCTTTGTTTCTTTTCTCTTCCTGTAATTTTTTCTTCTTCCCTTTCCATTTGTATAGAAGGGTTTATAGTTGTAGAGGTAATAATAATTTATAGACTGTTCCTTACATACTAAACGAAATCCGATACATTCCAAGATTGCTGAAGGGAATAAAGTGAGATCCTTGGGCATTTAGTCATTTAAACAGCGTACATCGGATATCTTTGTCTTTGTATTTTCCAGGTTTGGTCGTTTTCTCATTTATCATGTGAAAGAGGAAATTCTCTGCTACGTTTTTTTTTATATTGGTTGTATGAAAAGATATAAATAATGATTTTTTAAAAAAAATTTTATGCAATGAAGGTTTTTTTTTTTTTTTTTTTCCTCTAAATGACGAGGAATGGATAGTTTAGGGAAGGAAATTGAGAAAATTTAGATACTACGTTTTTTATTGTGAGATTCTGAGGAGATTTACTTCTGGTAATTTAATTCAATTTTTACATATATGCCATATATATTATTATCTCTTTAATTTTGTTGAGCATTTACATTTGTTTACACGTGAAAATTTAATTTTATATAGAGATTAAGTATCAATACCATCTTAATTTGTTTAGTGATTTGTAATTTTTTTTTTTTTGGGTAAACATCCCCATAACTCACCATATTTGTCCAAGCTAAATTAAATTCAAAATTCTTTTTATAGAAATAGTATAGTCCACCCCATGTATGTAAGATACATTACATTCATAAATTGAAAATATATACTAATTGAATTTGCGTGCATAAATATCATTATTATTATCCTTTTTCTCCACTCAATATCTAAATTTAAGATTAATATTTTTTTGTCAACAAGATCACAATTTATCCAAATTATTTTTTATTAAATTGTATATTCAATTTAAAATAATTAAATTTTGAATTATTAAATTTAAATGAAAATATATTATTCATCCTTAAATAAAGTAATAAAAACTTTCATTATTTTCTTTATGCAGTCGAAAGAATTTTGTCTAGAAAATTAACTATCCAATTTATCGAAATGGCACACAAAATCTCACGTCCCTATCTGATCCCGCAAACAAATTCCCAAACCCAACCCAACCAAGATTTATAGTGGGAAAATGATCAAAGTCCAATAAAATTCCTTCTCTAATTATGACTCCAACTTGTGTATTCATCACCCATAAATACATGTAAATTTCTAGCCCTTTTAAAGTTGCAGCAGGGACCGCCAGGGACAGCAGACAGAGCCCATGGGGTTGCGGTGGCAGCCCCACCTGTGTAGACAGCAGAGAGAGAGGCAGCCACCTAGACCATTTGTAGCTGTGCTGTGCAGAAGATAGCATCGCTAAACTTAAAATGAAAGACAAAGATGGTGGGGACTGGTCCCCGGACCAGATTGGCTAGACAACCTCCTAACTTTTCATTTGAAGCGCGTGCTCATCACCTTAAATCTTTATACGTTTTTTTGCTTGAATTATTGAACAATATATGTACAAGATAATTTAATTCGTATTCAGATAAATTTTAATTTAATTTAATTTTTTATTTGAATATAAAATCAGATCAAATTGAATAATAATGAAAAAAAATCAAAATTGAATTGAGATCAAATTTTAAGTAAATATAACTTAATTTGTTATCATCTCTACGTACATAATGGATTAAGATATTTTAATCTATTTATTGCATTTTAGTTATAGAATATTAAATACTTAGTATTACTCATTATTTTGTATTTTGATTTGGAACTATATTTATATCTATATTTTTTTATGAAACCTAAATTGGTCCATAAAATTAAATAAATTAATAAAACAAAAAAATTTTATTGACATTACCGTAATATTTATTTTATCAAATTCCCAAATTCTTAAATTAAGAATCTAACTTTTTGATGAATTAATCAAATTAATTGAAATTTATTTAAGTATGATATAAGTAATGAGAAAATATCCTTTTCACTATTTAAAAAATAGTGAAAGATTTTACTATTTTATTTAAAAAGTCAATAATGCATATTTACCTAAATTCATAGTTAAAATTTAAAGAAGTTAATTTGAATATAAAAATAAATAAAAATTAATTAAAAATATAAATGATTTGAACAAATATTAATCCTAAATTTAGTTGAAGGTGCATTATTAACCCTTAGATAAAGTAGTAGCTTTTTAAATGATAGAGCTAATTTTTTTTGTGTGTAAGTAATAGAAACCAAAATTAGAAACTCAATTCTCCAAAATTTTTGTGTTAGATTTAGGAAAAATCATAATAAAAAAAAATCATCTCCACTATTTAAAAATAAATGAAATTTGAACTACTTAATCCAAATGTGAATAATGCACTTTTAATTAATTTTATAATTGAAATTTAATGATTTTAACTTAATTATAAAATTAATTAAAAATAAAAATAATTTTAATAAATATTAACCATATACTTATCATCTTTATATAAAATAGTAAATACTTTCATTACTTTTTAAATAAAAAATAGGATCTTTTTCCTTGTATGATAACTGAAAGATCCTCTTCGTTACTTAAAAAGTAATGAAAGTTCCATTACTTAATTTAAAAGTGTTATCAACTAAATTTATTATTAAAATTAATTCAAATCATTTTTAATTAATTTTTCATTTTTATATTCAAATTAAAATCATTAAATTTAAATTATTGATTTAATTAAAAATGCATTAACACTCTTAAATTTAGTGAAAACTTCTATTTTTCAAGTAATATAGAGAATATTTTTTCCATAAATTAGAGTATCATCAAAATCAAATTTTAATTTAATTAATTTATATAACTATTTTTAAAAATAATATTTAATAATTTTGATATTAAAATTTTATCATGGCCTTGTTTCTTACCTTCGTACTATTTTTTTACCAAAAAACTATAGCATTGCATCAAATCATAAGAAGTAAAATGATGGGATTGTTATCTCTGCAGTTGGTTGGGGCGGAGGAAATTCCATTGACGTTATTGTTTATTTAAATAAACCTCAGATATTTGTATACATGGACGCATTGTCCCTAGCTATAACTCCTATTTAACGTAGAGTTAGCAGCTATGGTTTTGTTTTACTCTTATATATATATAGCACATTAATTGTGTCACTGACCAGATCAACAAGAAATTTGATTTCTTCTTGCACATATCCAACGAAGCAAAGCTAGGTATCTTTAATTCTCTCTTTCAGAAAATGTAGGGTATCCAAAGTCCAAACTCTAAAAGCTAAGGCGACATGCATTATTCTTCATGATAGAATGGAAGGAATGTTGGGGCACTAGTGCTAGGGGTAGATGCATGGGGGTCCCCAATAACATTTCTCAATCTTTTCTCTCAGGCTGAGAATCTTGACTTGGATATTTCTCTAATTGTAAAATTATCAATACTCAAAATTTTTTTTATTTTTTAAATATATAAATGATATAATTTTTTATAAAAAAATTTTAAAAATAAATTAATTGTTCGATTTTTTAAAATTAAAATAAAATATATCATATTTAATAATTTAAAATAAATAATTATAAGTTATATATTCAAAATTATCTCAATAAATCATAATCGTTAAAACTTAAATCTAAGATCTTTTCATAAAAAAATGATTTTAATTGATTGAATCAATCATTTATTAATAAATAATATTTTGAAATTTTGTTTGAACCTAAATATTTTTATCTTGAATTATTTTAAAATATAATATCACATCAATTAATTGCATTTAAAGATTTTATATTTAAAATAAACTTTACAAATATAATTCACAAAAATTTTTTTTTTTCTTTTTAAGAATACTAACTCTTTTAAGTTTATAATAGGATGTAATTGCTTATTTAATAAACTGCAATTACGTTCTAATCATCTACTTTTAAATTTAAATGTAAATTTCAATTAAACTCATTCAGAATAATTTTTTTATTAACATTTTTTCAATCACAATACTAATTTTTTTAATTATGGTTAGAATAATTATTATTTTTTAATTTTATTAGAATCAATTTTATCATTCATTTAAAATAAATCTTAAATCTTCATTTCTTTCCGTTTCATTAATTTCTCTCTTTGAACTCTTTGATCAGTTTTTTTTTTTTTTTAACACACTTTCATCTTGAATCCAATCCCAAAATCCCACCATCTGAGAACCTGATCCTACAAACGTGGTCAAAATAGCTATTTAAGTTCCCCTCCTTGTCTTGTTTTGACTACCATTAACCATTCTTATGTCTGATGAAAAACCAAAAAAAAAAAAAAAATGATTGAAAAGCTAGCAATCTAAATTCTAAACCAAGCATTTTTTCATCAAACATATTCATTTTGCTGTTATTTGGTTGGTTAACACTGGCAATAATAAAGTTTTGTTTTAAACGTCATGGCAGCGCACTTCCCTTTAGTGGGTGGGTAATGCTGCTGATTAGAAAGAGAGAGAAACGACCCACCAGTGATTGCAGACGCAAAGTTTGCAGCATTATTCTTCATTATCCATCACAATTCTCACAAACCCTTCATTTCTTAGATAGAAAAGTTAATGATTCTGTCTCCTAGAATCAACAAAAGCTTCATCATAGCTGTTGAGA